GGCTGGAATAGCGTGGCTATGCTGCTTTCAGGACCTGAGGTAATGTCTCCATGTGGAACTTCACTGCTGGACATCGCAGCACGGACATAGCGCTTTCAAAGCTAGTTCCAGCTCTCTACTAATTTCATTGCCCAGTGTAGCATTATCTGCAGTTGAGTGCTGCAGTGAGATACTTAGTTTTCAGCTTCTAAAGAAAGCGCAGAATAACATGTATTTAAACTTGCAGGGGGAAGTAAAGATTTTTATTTGAGCAAAAAGAACAGGCAAAATGAGTTGTGTGCCTTTTTGCAGCACTTGTTGGGCAGAAAAGAACATAGCCATTTTGATGGATATTTATGTTAGAGGTCTTTACTGTAGCTGTTCTTACTACTGCTGAATAACACAGAGCCCTGCTAAGCTTAATAGGAATTACCTGAAAATCAAGACTCTTGTGGCTTTGATTCAAACATAAACAAGCTTTGTATCTTGAGTGACCATTCTAGTGATATTGCAAAACATTGTTAATGAACTCTATTTATAATGTCTAATGTGGGTAGTTGTACTTTACAAAACTGGGAGGAAAAAAGGGTTGTTTCTCTGAAGAGTTTGCAGTTTAAGTTAAGCATGCAGAACAAAGATAGAGATGGGATTAGATGGTGAGAATGAGCACAGTGATGACTGAACACTAAGTGGGGAAAAGAACGAGTTTTTGAGGGTGCATTTGGAAAGTACATACTATGTGGTAAATCTCTTTCTCAAAGTCTGTCTGTCTCAATTAAGAAAAACTTATTGTTGAACTGAGTTGGGAGTCTACTTAACACTTTTCAGATAGTGTTCCTGACCATGCTTCTTTCAGCAAAGTATCTTTAAAACGGAACTGTAAGCAAGTGTTCTGGTTTGGATTGGGTTGGTGAGGTTTTGGTGTTTTTTTTTTTTTATTTTATTTTTTTTCTTTTTTTGCCTTGTCAGTTCTGTGGTTGAAAACAAAACAGAAAACAAGCTGTCCATTAAGTGGTGAATATCACAATTTTGTGATGTATTTAGAAATTACAGTCCTTGGTCATTATTAGGTTTTTGGCAACTGAAGATTCCCTTAGGAGAATGCCTCCTTTCTAGCAGCAGATATCATGATCAAGAAAGCAACATGAAGTTACTCTGTATCATCAGTTCCTATTTTTCGGAGGAGGTCATTTCATCATCTGGGTATTTGAAAATCTTTTCTGTTGAGGAGGTAGCACAGTGAAAGGGAATCAATTACTCTGTGTAAAATAAGACTATATGTAATATGAATATAACCTTCTGTGACTATAGTCTCTATTAACTTTGTTTTTCAGAAATTCCTTCCCTGTTTTTGCAATTGATGCTTTTTTTTTTTTAATGATGTTGTCAAATAATTGTGCCAAACCTTTATTTAGAAACTTTTGCTAAAGGTTTGCTAGAAACCTCATTCAGTTGTGATTCTGAATAACTGAGCCAGCATTTTTTAATTTTTTTTTTTACAGAGTTTGATGTTCTTTCACTGTACTACCATGAGTATAAACTCTTTATTCTCAGTTTTTTATAAAAAGCTATTTACATTTGTTAACCAATCATTTCCTGATGTTCCTTTGTGTTGATGACAGTGAGTTAGGTATTCAAAAACAAGATTTTAATAGTGGTCTCGTTATTTTTCTTATTTCTTGAAAGCTAGTTCTGAATTTTCCATGCAGGATATTGCTATTGTTATCCCAGTCTACCCCCTGCTGGCTGCACAGTAGTATTAATTAGATTATCATATGGAACAAGCAGCTGTTTTATTAGGGAGCTAGATTTATAGCAAAGAACCAAGGTAAAAAAGATAGTGTAGAAGTTGGCTAGAAAAATATCTTTGGAAAAATAGAGTTGTGAAGAAATTGAATTATTTTACATCCAGGAAGAGTGTTCCTCATAATGAGCAGACTGGGAGAAGCAACTGGTTGGTGAAGCTAGTTGGGGTATGTTCATAATGTGTGCTTTGACCTAGGAAGCTTCCTCACATGCTGTTGTGTCCATTTAATAGGACACCTTTACTACTTTGCAAGCCCACAGTTTAAAGCACAGCCCATGCCAAAAGAGGTGTTATGTAGACTCAGTGACAGCTGGCATAGGGTTACTTGGTATGCGTTCTTCTTTTATTATTATTATTATTACGACTACTACTACTGCTACAACAACAATATAAGGATATAACTACACAGAATGCTTATAGTAAAATATGGTTTATGTGCATACTGAGCTTACTAAATGAGAAGCTAACCTTTGAATTAGGATGCTTTTCAGTTTGAAAGCAAGGCTCACTGGAACTAGTTAAATATAATACTAATGCAGATCTCTTACGTATGTACATGTTACTAGTCTTAAACATGGTAGCTTGTCCAGTGGCAAGGGTTGAAATGGTTCCTCAGCTCTCCCTTTTTGTCTCTTTAATAGAAGTACATTTTGATACTGTGAAATCAGGCAGGTGATTAAAAGAGAAATGAACATTACTTCTTGATGCTCTCTTAATTCCATACAGTTGGTCAACATCTTTCTTCAAGTGTGGCTCTCACTGGGCATAATGCTCCTGTTTTCCCAGTGCTGACAAGGAAGGGCTACTTCACATGTGCAGCAGGCTGTATTCCTGCTCATACACCCAATTACGATGTTTTCTTTTTTTGCCAGAATTTGTTGGTTTATGTTCAACTTGTCACCTGCCATAATCATCCAGATCATTTTCTTTAATGATGCCACCTGGCTGGTTTTTTTTATTCCTCCTTTGTTTGCAGTCACTTAATCTTGTCTGCAAGTAGAACCCTGCATTTGTCCCTATGCAATTGCAATCTTTTTTTTTTTTTTTTTTACCATGTCTGTAATTAGTTAAGGTGATTCAGATTTCTAATCCTGTGCTGCAACATTTTCAGCCCCTCCTAGTCTTTTTTATTATTTCAAGTCATAGGGATCTAATTACATTAAAGTAGGCTGTTTATTAGTACAAAGTCAGCATCAAATAAGTTTCGTCTGGTTTATCCTCTTTACATGCTTAAAATATCTTTCATTATTGCTTTTAATCAGAAAGATTTAAATACTGATGCTAAAGAGAAAACGTTTCATAAAAGTGTGCCCCCAAGTACTTATGAGACATGTCAAAAAACCCAATCCAAACCTAACATACGTTTTCTCATTATTTTACAATACTTTTTTGTATCCTGTAACATACTTTCCTCATTATTTTAGAAGACTTTTAATCGAACTTAACACGTAAATAGAGAATAAACTATAAAGGTAAATCAGTAGTAGTATTACAAAAAGTCTTTCAGATTTTCTAATGTTCTGAAGCTATTGCTGTCTCTTTAAAATGCAGAAATGAGGTAGTTTGTACTTTTGCAGTTACAAATTAAATGGATTAACTTTTCCAGCTGTATTAATTAAACTCTTTTCATCAGGGAAAAAAACTCCACAAACAAACAAACATAAAACCCAGCAGTGTTTAGCTATACATATACACCTCTAATGAAGCTGGGACAGAAACTTGCCAGATTTTCCACACAAAATTTCCATATAAACTTATGCTCTTGTTGGAGTGTTACCTGTATACAGCAGCAACTTGATGGTCATACTCTTTGGAAACATTCAAGACAGCATGGTATTTCTGTCCTATACAGGAACACTGGCTACCTTTTTATGTGATCACAGTGTGTCCATAGTCAGCTTGTAGGAGAACATAGCTTTTTCTGCATTTCCAAGTGTCCAAAACTGTGGGCTTTTTTTAACAGTCCTCTCCTTTTTTTTTTTTTTTTTTTTTTTTTTTTTTGTGTGTGTGTATGTGTCTTTCTGCCACTACTGTAGTATCTTGCTTGATAGCTGATAACTCCATCAGCTGCTCAAGCAATGCTTTCAATGGCAGCGCTCCTGTGCGGCTCCACCCAATAAGTCAAGGTTACTGATGCCTGGGAAGCCCATCGCTTTGGTGTTCTTCTAGCTCCAGTCACACTCCAAACTGCTTTCTAACACTGCCCCCTCTTACACAGCCATGAGATCTGTTTCTAATGTAGTTTGTGGTGCTTGTACTGGGCCTAATTTCATTGCCCGTACTGTCTGATTTCCTGCCCCTCAGTATTGTCCTATGAACTTGTCTGTCTTGTCGCTACTCTGAATTCCAGCGCATGCCTTTTCTTTAACTGATACTTAATTCAATTCTTTTTATATTATCTACCTGAAGTTTGAGTGTCATCCTGTTTCTTGTCACCTATTGTAACATGCCCTGTGGTTTTTTTTTTTTTTTAACCTGTTCTTATTTGCAGGCAACGTAATAAATGCTTGTTTTTAAACCAGATGTTACAGACATGAACTTGGTATAATAAGTGAACCTGCTTGTGCATGCATAAAATTGTAACAACTTTATTAATGCTTGTGCTTGCAGATTGTACATGCAAAAGATGAACTGACACTTGTAAATGGGAAGCTGCCTAGTTGCATAAACAGAAATATGTAGTATATTTGAGAGTTAGTTATTATCCATGTATACGAATACATGGAGTTACACTAGGGTTTTATGAAGTATTTGACAAATATGTGTTTGTTGCCACTTTTGTACTGGTATTGTAGAACAGACTTTTCAAGTTACTTGTGTATATTCTTTTGACAGCTAAAAGTAGTAGGTGTGGGTTGGTCTGTCTTGGTTTTGTTTCCATTTTATGGTTTTATAGTAAGTTAAATTAGCTGGGTTAAATTAGCTTGTCTGAGATAGGCTTTGTAATTTTTATTTTTCAAATTTTTAGTTCTATTTGCTAAATATGGCATTACACCCTGTAAATCAATATTTGAAATTCATATTTTATAGATAACATTTTATGTCTTTACAGGAAATCTGCATCGCAAAGCATAATGAAAAGATCCAGCAGCATCACCAGAGTGAGGAGGAATACAAAATGCACCATACTATTCAGCTAGTAAGTTTGAGGTTTCTACTGTTGAGTTTAGCCTTTAGTTAACAACTTACATTCCTCATTTTACATTAATTAGGAGAGTATTCCGAGTGATAGCTGGTTTAGAAAGATGGTGTATGTCCCTGACCTTGGCACCATGGATTTCTGTGTTATCATATGCTGCTAAGGGGGAGTATATAGCTGTGTTAGGATGACATTGAACCCAAGCGAATAAAACAGTTCTTTAATGCTAGGTTCACAGTCTAAGCGATTACTGCTAGGGTTAGGCTGCATGGGGTTTGTTATTGTGTGCACATAGATGATTCCAGACGTCTCTGAGTACAGTGTCGAATATGCTGAAATGAGTAAGGAAACCACACACGTTTATTCTTGAATCTTAGTAAGCTTGTTCATTATTTTTCTTCTTTCTACAAAAGGAATCACTTGAATAGTGTTGTATAAAGATGTAGTTCCAGCTGTACGCTCCACGATGCTCTGCACAGTCTCATCACAGAGAATAGGCTAGCTAGTCCAACTCTTAGGCTGAACATAATAGACTTGATGTTAAAGAATATTCAAATTCTGGGCTAGGTCTTGGGAGCTGATATAGTATCAATATTTAATAAAGATCACTGACAAAGATGCATTGAAATCCAAGTCTCTTTAATTCAGGCTTCAGTTAGATTAGTGAAAGTGATTCTATTTCATCCTTATACATTTTTAACATTGATACATTTGTCCAGGAAGTCAGCTGCATAATTTATTTTATGAAAAGGCTATTTGTGAAAGACAGTACATATTGGCATAGTCTTTCAGGAACTTAGAAAAAAATTTTTTTTTTCAGTTCTTACAATAAGGCAAAGGAATTTGCTGTGTGGATTGTAGTCCATTTATCACTCTTAAAAATAAGACTTGACAAAGCTGAAGGACTTTCTTGTCTCTTGAACACTACAGGGCTTTTTTGTTACTTATTTCATGGAGTTGCCCGCTTGCATTGTGTAAAGAACCTTATGCTAATTTTTTTCCTCTTTTTTCTGTTAATAATGTGACTGAAAATTTCTGCTGTTATTGTAAAATAGGCTTTCAGCCACTGGTTTTCATGAAGAATTTTGAAAAGATAATCTCAAGGGTGTCCAAACCTGAAACCAAATAAGAATTGCAATTTCACTATTCTTATTTAAAAACAAAACAAAACAAACACAAAACAAAAAAAACACCAACCCTTTGAGTTTGAGACTGCTTCAGGAAAAGTTTGACATGATTGCATATGTAACATGCAGATGTAGTGGTAGCACTATCCTTTCTTCTTGCTCTAATCTTTTCTTTATGCTTCTGTTTTAGCTTCTTGGCCCCATTGCTCTGTTATTTTCTTTTCACCACATGCTTCTATTCCTCTTCACCTTTTTCTGTTTCCTGTCCTTACTGTTTTTCAGACATGTTCTCCTCTTCCTCTCCCTAATGCAGCTATACTTACATCCTTCCAAATTACAGGATTGGGCTCTTTATGAAGGACACAAGGCCACTAGCTGACTGCTGAAAATGGCAGGCAGACAGACACTGCTTTTGTGTTCACTGAATGACAATAAAAGTTCACAAAAGTAATCAGAATTTTTAATTACAATGATGAAGATGGGCTTTTAAAAGTAGTACCTAATGCTGTGAGTCTTTTAACAATTAAAGCTGCTGTTTCTGCTCAGGGTTTTTTTTTTTTTTTATAGTCACCTGTTCTACCACTTTTCCTGGTAACTTCTGAACTTGCATACAATGACTTTTGCCATCTGATAACTAGCATCCACTTTCAATAAATTTGACTGAAGAGTAGCATTTTGTTTCAAAGATGTAGTAACTTTGTTGAAGTTTTGTGAAAATGGATGACTAGTTAAAGGAGGTGGATCCAAATATGTGTGTTCACTGAGGTAAGGCCCCCAAACAAGAAAAAATAGAACTGTCTTAGCTGTAAGGAAGAGCTTCAAACCTTTATTGAAGTAAGATTCCAGAAAATCAAGATGGATTAAATAATGACAGCTTAAGTTAATTAAATGCAACACTTTCAGTTACTGTTGTAAACTGTAATGAAAATGTTTACTTAATTTGCTCAGTATTGCATTCAAAACTTTGTGGCACTGAGTTCTGTGATTTCCTGCACTATGAAAATACTAGTATGACTTGTTTTAAATGGGCAGTCTTGCAATTTGGACTGTCATTTTGTTCTTGGAATGAGAGAAAATGGATACTGGTTTACTGTCTGGCTAATTTATACCATTTTTAATTTAAGGGAGCTTTTTTCAGTACAATATTCTGTCGTGTTTCTAGTTATTTCCCATCTTTCAAGGTAACAAGTCTTCAAGTGCTGCAATTCCACATTGAAATCTTTCTTTACTGAGCTTTGCATTTTTTGAGATTATAAAACATGAAATGCGTAATATGCTGTGAGGGGAAGAGAAAGGCCCAGTTTTGAAATTCAGACATGTGTTTATTTGAGAAGTAGATTGTTAGGTAATTCCTAACAATTCATAGAAGAGTTATTTTAATTCAGTTTTTTTTTAGTGATGCTAAACATAGCATTGGATGTAATATTTACATGTTCTCCATATATTTTCTCAGAAGCGAGATCAATTACAAGATGAAGAAGAAAGAAAGAGCTCCTGGGTTAGTCAGGAACGACAGAAAACACTGGACAGACTTCGCACGTTTAAACAGGTAACAGAAGAAGAGTTATTGTTTTCTACCAGTTTCTTTTGCAAAGAAATTTTCACTCGTTCCAGGACTATATTACGCTATTAGCCATTCTCTTTCATTGTATAGTTAACTGTTCTTTGTAAAATTTACAACAAAGTACGGCAGTGGTGGTAAGAAACATGTTTATATTGTTATGATCTCTATTGCTTTAAGGCCTACCAGAAATGTGTAAAATGTATTAGACCTGTCTTTCAGAAGCAGTTTAAATTTTTGCATAAAACCAGCTATGGATTAAACTAATATGACAAGACAGATACTGAGGTAGCAAATTTAAGAACTAAATTAAAAATACTTTGGAAACTCTTAAAATGTTTGATGTTTTCAAGAGATACCTTTTTAAGCAGTATGATTCACATCTAAAGCCAGTGTATTAGGCCAGAGAGGACTTCGTTGCAGAGGGAGCCTTTGACCAGTTTTAGAAAAGGAAAGCGAGAAGGAATTTTGAATTTTAGTTTTCAGAAAAAACAGTTTTGTATGTACAATCTGCTTCTTAGTGAAATCCTAATTCTAGCGCATGAATATCCCTGCCTAGACCAATGACATGTAAATTTTGGCTTAACCAAGAACAAAAATTAAGAAAACAAGACCATTTTTGCATAAAGGTGAGGATATATTTGCTTTGTTTTTACATCTAGAATAAAATGAATAAAACCAGCAGATGAATTCTACTTGACAGAAAGGCAAACCCTAATGACATGTGCTTAGTATCTAGAATAGTGCATTGCATGTACTTATCTAATTGTCAGTAACTTACTCACTTTAGCGGTACCCTGGGCAAGTAATACTTAAATCAACCAGACTACGGCTGGCTCATGCAAGAAGAAAATGTGCAGCCAGCTCAATGTCCTGTGTTGATCAGCCTCAATCTTTGCCAGCAACCATACAAATCCAAGAGAAGAGTGAAGAGGTGGAATTGGAAAATGCAGTTCAGCCTTTGCACGTGCAGGAATCCACAAGCTTGGAACAACTTCAGGATATCTCGTTACCTCCCAATGGTATTACCTCTGAACTGCTTCATGTTAGTACTTCTCCAATCACCAGTAATGAGCTTCAACCAGAGACTATTACTGTAGTACCGCTTCCACCCCCTTTGCCTCCACCACCTCCACCTCCGCCTCCACCTTTGCCCTCCAAGGAAGATGCCACCAAATCCTTAGAGAAGAGCGACAGCTTTGTTAAACGTCAGAGTGAGGAGAAAGGAGTCCAGCACTCTTCTGGTGTCCCACCAGCACATCTCTTTGACAGCAGTCAGCTAGTCAGTGCCAAGAAGAAGCTTAAGAAGACTGGTGATCTAGAGGGTTTACAGAGGAGGAGAGGTAATGTTTTAATTTCTGTGTATTTAATTGTAATGTGTATCAGTTCCTCTTTTGAATTGCTCTATAGAAAAGTATATGCTGTGGTTCATTTATAATTATTAATGGGAAAGTTGTTAAATCCTTTTCAGTTGACAAATGTCAGCAACTCAAACAAATGTTAGGACCTTTACAACAGCGTGCAGTATACTTGTTCAGTTAGACAGAAAACACTTGTTAGACAGAAAACAGTTGTGAAACTGATTCTATGATACACCATGTTAGACTAGCTAGAAAATGGAGCTAAAGGTTGCCTAAAAGAATCTTTTTCTATCTGGTTTACAGCCAGCACTGCAAATATTATATGCCTCACCTGAGGGTGCAGTGTTTTTTTAATAACAGAATTCTACATAATTTATGACCCAGTAAAATGAGTACTTGTCTCGGGACATAGGAAACCTTGAGAATGCTATCTTCAAGATTTCTTCAAATTTTCATACAAAAATCCTCAAACCTTCAAGTACCCTGGAGAGCTGAGTAAGAATATATATGCTTTGGAATAATTGGAAATTAATTATTCCAATAATTATTCCAATAATTTGGAATAATTGGAAATTAAATCTGTAATTGTTCTGCAAAGCATGTTAATAAATAGTTAAAAGATCAAAAACTACTTTGGAAACTGAGGAGAATGAATAGAACACAGGGCTGAGCTGGGAGATCTGTACAACTTGTTGATTCTGTGCTACATGTTTTTAACTGTTTATCCTTTATCCCATATATAAAATGGGAAGAATGGCAGCCATGTTCAAACAAAACAATCCTGGTGGTGTGGTGAAACATGCTATGTTGGAACTAAGTTTTCATTTGAAAATCGGAGATGGGATTTTCAAAAGTGCTCAGCTGAACTATTTTACTGGAAGTCATCGAGAAAAAGTACCTCAAGTGGGCCCTGATTCACACTGCTGTAATATGGCTGTAATAACATTTGATCAAAAATTCTGTCTGGTTCTGTCAGTTACAACTACAGAAAACATCCCTCCATTGACATTTTCCCTCATACAGATAAAATCAAAATTAGAACTGTCTTCATCAATCAGACAAATAACCATGTTTCCTTTAGAATTTTCCTTAAATGACTGAAAACCCTTGAAGGAACTGCATCTTTCTAGAATTCTTAAGCTCTTGTGAGCCTTGCAGGTTGCAGGTACAGTGTCTTAAGTTCGTTACTGATTTTGGTGCTGCTGTGCTCCCTCTTTCTTTTTCTGTAGTCCTATTGTTTATTTTTCTGATACCTGTTTTATCTTGCAAATTTATATAAAGCATATATTGTGTGTGCAATTTGATATACATCAGAAAGTGACAAATGTAAAATCAAATTATATCCTCCCTCTTAACAGTATTGTTAATGTCTGCAGCAGCACTCTACCTGCTGCTCTGTATTCCCTGAGATGTTCCGAGTCTCTAAGTGGCTTCAGAAATTTGTCTCTGAATGACAGATGAGTGTTTTACAGTCCTTCCTTTCTCCTTCAAATGCGCAGTCCTGTATTCTTCTTTTATTCCTCTTTTCCTCGTATCTATTCCAACTGTCTGGGCCATTAGTCTGATGGACAAAGCCCACTCATAAATGCAAAACAGGTTTTAAAAATATATTCTGCAATATACAAAAAAGAACTGGAGGTGGATATTCATCTATTGATTGATACATGCTGCACATTGTATATGCTAGTGTATGCAAGCTATTTCAAACTGTTGTACTTTATTATAATGTATTCTCTGGGATGGAGATCTTAACCTACTTGTAGCTCCTCAAAGACACAAAGCCTGATTTTTATTTCTGCAGAGAACTAGTTTCAAATTGGTGGTAAAGGAATGATTTGTCATAAAGTCTTAACTTTTACTTCTCTGTTTTTATTAATTATAAAGGAAGGGAATTTCTATAGGCATGCTGTGACTAGGTGCTAATACATACATGAATCCAGAGAAGCAGGAAAGTGCATGCTGTTGCAGTTGACTATACTGCTGCTTCCCTCACTGGCATGTAGTAATAGTCATACAGTAGGTAAAATCAGCCACAAAATGCAAGTGCTGAGAATGGACTGCACAGTCCAATACTTAAGATACGTATTCATTACCTGAGTCTTAAAGTCAAGAAAGATAATATAGTAAACACTTTCATTGTGTTGGATTCATTGCAGCTATTTTGTTTTTCCTGACTGCACACAGGAAAGCCATCTTGTTCAAAAAGTTTTACTACCTGCCTGATAGGAGGTTAAGTGGCTTCAGAAATATAAACCAGTTTTGACCTGGTAATAGGGAAGGTGGGTTTGGAGGCTAAAACAATAGTGGAGCTACCACTATACTTATAGTATGGGACTATCCCATTGATAGTGTGCGGCTACTTTTTGTTCTGTAGGAAATATAATTGAAGACTGATAAAATTTAGTAAAAATAATACTGAAGGTCCTTTGATTTACTGCAGTGAGTTCCCCAATGGATGAAGTACTGGCTTCCTTGAAACGTGGCAGCTTTCACTTAAGAAAAGTTGAGCAGAGAAGTCTCCCTCCTTTTCCTGATGAAGATGATAGCAATAACATCTTGGCACAGATCAGGAAAGGGGTGAAACTGAAGAAAGTGCAGAAAGATGTTTTGAGAGAATCCTTTACAATTCTGCCTGATACTGATCCTCTGACAAGGAGCATCCATGAAGCATTGCGACGAATTAAGGAAGCATCACCTGAATCAGAGGATGAAGAGGAGAGTTTGCCTTGCACAGACTGGGAAAATTAACCTGTAATTAACCTACATTAAAAAAAAAATATATTTCTTCAACATTTTTTGTATGACAATAGCAGCTAAGCCTCAGGTTGTGCATTCTAGGAGACTTAGTATGAATGTGACTAAACTGTCTGACGTCCAACATGGTAAAACATGCACATATGAATTTAGTATCACTGACTTTTCAAAGAATTTAAGGTTTATAGTAAGGAAAACGTTTTTTAGGCAACATCTTAGCCTTTTATTGTTTATACTTTTGCTGAATATTGACAGGACTGCTCCTATAAAAAGCTCTATTTTATTTAGTAAATTTGAAGGGACTGTTTGCAGCTTACCAAAAAGCTTTAAAAAGCTTTTCAGTAACAAAGCAGCACAATCACTCTTGGACACACCTTGTACTTATTTTCTAATTACTTCTGGCCTTGTAAAAATTTAGCATGTTTATCACTTCAGACTGAATAGCTCCAAGTGAAGGACAGTTAGATTTGACTGCTGAACACATTGAAATGTCATTGGTTACCCTGTGTGTCTGACTCTTTGGTTTCAATCTGTAAACTCTCTGACTTAATTGAATTTCCAGACTATAAACAGTAAATACACAAATATAATTTATACTTCTGCTACTCATATGAATCCCATGAACTGGCATTATACTACGCTAGAGCGCCTGAAAGTACATATATTAGACTTCAGCAGATGAAGTTAATGATTTCAGAGCAAAACAGAAATTGTCAAGAGATTATTTTTCAAAATTATGGCTGCATTAGTAGCCCAGAGAGGTTCTTGATTACAACAACAGCATACAGCACTATTCTTCTGTGGTGGTTCTTTTCTGCTCCTGGCATGTGGATGTCTCAATGAAAGCTGCCGCTAAACTTAAAATTTCGAAAAAAGAGAGGTATGACAATCTGTAAAGAATTTAAAAATCTATTTAGAAATCAAAGGCTATTTCAAGAGTATGGAAGATAAATATTTATAAACCTTGCAATACAGCTAGCAGTAGGGAAAAGACAACCTTTTTGGATGTTTACAATCAGGCATTTCTACCCTGGTTAGTTATTACCATAGCTGGAGAGTGACTATTGATAAAGTGCTACAGCTGTTTAAAAAGTGATGGTGACTTAGCACATCATCTGCTGAATGTTGTGATTATGAAATGCTATGTCTCCAACTGTTCCACTGCTGTGCTATTTTCAAATAATAATGTTTAAAATTTTTAAAATGGAAAATAAACATTGCCTTTATTTCCTCATGAACTAGCCACTGGGCACACTAATGGTTTAATACTGTTTAATTATGGCATGCTCCTTCTATTCCATATCAAATGTACTGCTAGGTTTGGAGTTGAAATCCAGGAGTGGAGGTGTACTCAACTGTTGCTGAAACTCAAAGTGAAAATAATTTTGCTTGGATGTAACTTTGTTCTACTACTTTCATACTGCAAACTCCCACTACCACAGCCCTTCAGAAATCAAGTAACAGTTATAAGAAAAGACATGCCTTGGAATTGACTTGGCTTTCTCAGTGCAATTATTCTCTTTTCATTTCCTAGATAACTGAGCAAATTTAAATTTTGTGATTTGACTTTATGATTTTAGTAAATCTAACTTATTCTTTGGGAACTTGTTTGCATTTTTCAGCAAGAATACTCTTTAATACTATGGGTCATTTAAAAAACAAAAAAAGGAGGAACTTATCCAAGAGTGACTTTGAATTTTTTTAATCCAGTTGGTGGACGTCCTAAACATTTTCCATTGGAAGTGTATCCTCTTAGAAGTCTTATGTGTACACTGCCATACAATACAAATACACGTTTTCCTCTGCTATCTTTTGCAGCCCCGTAAAAGCAGTTCAGAGTGGTGGTTGAAAAGCACTGCCATGCAGTACCTGTAGTGCACTGGTTGTTGGCTCCTTTTTACCAGTCTGCTGTTATAGTATCTTCTCCATTTAAAGACGCACACCTGTCAGATGCTGAGGTCCCATGAAATCACTTGGACCTAAAGCAGTATGCAGTGTCAGAATTCTGAGTGTGTGTTTTCCTTGGAGTTCTTCACAAATCTGGGACCCGCTTTCTCTTGCCAATATCATATTTTATTATGAAAGAATGTTTCCATGAGATGAGACTATTTAACAGTACAGATTTGACTGAAAAATGGTTGTATAAAATAGCTAACAGCTCAGAAAGGAAAAACAGGCCCCTGCTGTGGAAGCATGTGAAATAATCTGGGAGAACAGAGATTGAGACAAAGCCCTTGTGAAATTCGGATTAATGAATACTTTTCACACAGATGAGCATGCTTGCTTGAACATATAGACTGGTTACCCAGAATTTATTACACAAGAGTAAAATCTAATGCAAGTCTGTTGTAGAAATAGCAGAATAGTATTTTTTGCTATAAGGTTATCCATTTAATACCATGCTTTAAGATTGACCTGCTGATTTTTTTACTGTAAGCTCTGCACATACAAAACCCAGTTGCATAGAGATTTTAGGTTGAAAACGGTTATACAGAAGTATATTGGCACATGTGTTACAAACTATGCTTAATACATGTACGTCCTTGTAGGCTAAATGTAATGCAATTATTTGCATTAGGAATGAAGGCTAAATCAGGTATAATGATATATGTTTATCAAGTGCCAAACAGTGTCTTAATGTATGTGCAAGGAGTATTAACAATGCCCACTGAAGCAGCTTCATTAATCATTGACGTTTGAAGACAAACTAATAGTAACTAATTCCTCAGGAGACCTAGTCATCTCTTGTATTAGCTGCTTTATGAGTTAACTTCTACATAAAGTTATGACTAACTTTTTAAAGAGCAGTTCCTTCCTTATGGACACTCTCAGCCATGTACAAAAATGTTGAGGCATTCTGTGTATTGAAAGTAACAGCTGAACAAGCAGTATAAATATGCAGTTTTCTGTATGAAAAATCAGGTTACTGGTTATCAGAAGTATCCCAAGCCTATTTGTGTGTGTGTGTGTACATAATGGTACACATAAATCACTATAGTGTAGTAAGAGTACTAGACGTAATGTGAAACCTGGGTTCCTGGGAGTGGTGGGCAAAGTAACAGATAAGAAGCGAGCTTTTCCTTTCCATAGTCTTCTAATCCAGTATTCTGGGCCTCTTCAAACTCTAATCTGTGTTCACTGCCAATAATACCAGAAGGCAACCCCCTCCCCACCGGTCATATTCTGTGTGTCCTGGCTCCAGAGTTAGCGTGTCATTACCCTGAGAGCAAAGAGAATCAAGGCTTTTGAAGACACTGCTCAGTATTGTATGTTGAAATTGCCTAATATGTTGATCAGAGAGTGTTTGTACAGCCATTTAGCTTTTCAGATATTCCCCCCCCACCCCGCCCCCAACAAGTGATTCACAGCTACTGATGTGAGAAAAGAAACCCCAGTTGAAGATTACCTTTCCTCTTCATTTCTGAAAATTCAGAGTCAGCAGTTATGACCATCAATTCCACAGGAGGCTTTCTTTGGCAAAGAACTAGTCTTTCTTTGGCAAATGATTCAGTATATGGAAACAATGGCCTGAAATGTTAATTTTTGGGTCACTTTTTTCTTTAATTTGTTCCAAAAATTCTGGTTGGGGCAGAAAGCCAAGTTATTTATATGTGCAATTTTCTATAATCAAGAATGCCCAATTCTTAAGCACTTTTTATATTTGTGTTAGTAATGTGTGGCCAGTTAAGTGAGGGGGGCATTTTGAGTTGGGAGAATACTTGCTTTTAGAGGAACTATGGGATTCAGCTGAAACATCAAACCAGCTATAAAACCTCCCCTTCATGGCACTGAATGTGTCATCTGCTTGAAAATCCAGTTGAATAGCTCCTTGCAGAGAAGGTTGCTATGTATCAGTGTGATACTCCAGAAAGAGTAGAATTCCTAGCTGCACTACAGTAGCTGAAATTCAGTAACATGCAACTAAGACTTTTTTTTTTCTTCTTAGTTTGAAGAAGCGTATGTCAGTATAAGAAGTAACAAGTGACCACAGCACAATGAGAAATAAAAGTTGAATTCAGTACATATTCAACAATGTCTTTGTTTCCAGCATGGTACATTTAGCAAGACATACTGCAGCACCTTTTTAGAAGGTCATTTGTAGTCTTACACCTTGTTAAAGTAGACATTTTTATGCTTTTTAAAAATAATGTTTAGCTATGCTGAACCAAGTTAGTTATACTTTTATCATCTGCTATAAGAAGCAGTATTTTGTAATTTCATACTTAAAATTATGTTTCTCTTCTGGTTTAAAATGGCTTTTGATTAAGCAGCCTTCTTTAAAAAAGATCAAAGCACTTAAACATACTAATAAGTCAGTTGTGAAAATCATGCTTCTCTTCCTGGGTTTTATTATTCCCTTCAGTGGCTGCAAAAATGTTTGTATTTCATACCCAAAAGCCTACTGGCTAAAAAAAAAAAAAAGCTCCCTTTTGATCCTGACTATTTTTTTTAAAGGAGAGTTACAACTTCCTCTGTGGTGAATACTTGAAAGTAATCCTAAGCTTCATGACTAATGGCTGCAGGTAGCTACTCTTACAATACCACAGTACTAAGAGGTATGTCAGTACAGAGATATAGGTAGCCTTGTACCATCTAGAAACTCCTATGTGATATTAAAGTCAGCCCGTTACAATTTTAAGAAAACAGAATTTTTCACTAGCATTTTATTTTTACTAGCATGACTTACACGGTGAGAAATACACAGTCCCTGTCCTTTGTGTAGTGTGCTCCATTCACTGTTCCTCTCATGACAGACAAACTGCTATGCAGATTTGTGGGTTTTCTAAGTGGGGTTACACGTTGCTGCTGTCATGTAATGGAACGCATACTGTGTTAACGTTTGTAACAGGAGATTTCACGTCTTGCCATTTACTTATGTAAATAGGAACAGGAGAACTTACCTTAGCAATAGGCTGTGTAACCTAAACGAACCTCAGCTGTTCGACCCTTCAGTTGTTTTGCTGTGGCTGTCCTGAAATTAAAGCTCTGTCAGA